GAAATATTATATGAGTTTATATGCTGTCTCATGTGCACATTTCTCATGCTGTATCTAGTTTACATTTTATTAACTTACCACCCTCTTTGAAATCATTACACCATATCTTACATAGATAGATAGACAGACAGACAGACAGACATTTTCAATTATAGAAAGGCATACTTAAAATATTATCCCTCTAAAATAATGCACTAATGTTAGGAATGCAAACATGTATTCCTAATATTAAAATGCTACACTGTCTAGTTAGATTTATGGACTCCCCTCAAAAAGAAATAAAAAACAGGTTTTACTTACCTTTATCTCTCCAGAGTCACAGTCTTGCCGTGCCCAGCATGGCTCTCAGCAAACCTAATGCTTCTCCAGAGGGAAGCATTGGTGGACTAGTGCACATAAACTGCAATCGCTGTGCCAATCAGCATTTCCTCATTGAGGTGCATTAACTCAATGCATCTCATGAGGAGCATTCTGCATCTCTTTGCAGAGCATCCAGGAAGCCCCACTAGTGGCTGTCCAAGTGAGAGCCATTAGGGGTTACATTAGGTAGCCATGTACACACTGCCTTTTCTAAGAAAAGGACGCTTTACACTATTAATCCTGCAAGTACAGCCTCTTTTCTCCAGAACTATTATATTAAGCTGAGCTGTTTCTGGTGTCTAGAGTTTCCATTTAATGTATTATACAGAATGGTAATATTCATTCACCATGAGCACCGACAAGTGACAATGTAACCATGTCAAGTAGAAATTCACCCCTGTTGGGTGTGACATGGACCCTCCACAATTGCCGTAAGTACATTTTAAAGCCTGACTAGTGGTGTAAGACTTGAAACATTAAGATCTGGCAAAATATACTTTAAAAAAGAAACAACACGTTTAAAGTTTCACTAGCAAGTGTAGCAATAATCCATGAAGAGTCTCACCAGTCATTTTGGTCTATGAGGGTCTGATCATATCCTGTTGTCCAGCAGGGGTTTGTGAGATATGTATAACAATTCTACTCACTGAAAATACTTTACTATACTTTAGCGGCCCATAATTTGCATATAGCTCAATTCAATGTCAGAAGGGCTATGTGCTGCGATTAGTAGAGTCATACTGCACATACAGCCCAAAACTTGGAGTTCTGGCAGAATTACTTACAGCTCCAGTAAGCTGGCTTGTAATTGAATCAATTCTCAAAGACCACTTCAGTTAAAGGCCAGTCGAAAAGCTGAAAGGTGGTGTGGGGTACACTCTGCAAAATAAAAACTTTGCAATGATTTAAAGTTTTTATTTAAAGTTGTAATGCTGAACATGTAAACTGCAGTTGTTATGGTAATAGTTATATTACCATTTATTCACTAAATTAAGTAAAACATTAAGAGTCCATGTTTGCCTCATTGCTTTGATAATACTTTTCCAGTCCTTGCAGAAAAAAAAATACAGAGACTATTAATACAGCCCTTTATGTTTTAATATTTCTGTGGGAATATATTGTGTATCAGGCACAGGAAGAATATGATTTTGCAAAAAGAAGATTTAAAAAGGATTGTAGTGCACTCCTAGATCTACAGACAGTTAAATAGCAATTACCTTAATGTTTCTGCTGTTTTGAATGGTGCTAGTTTCTTCTAGGTACTGTGTAGCTTAAGTTCCACACAACTCAAGACTTTTATAATGATAATGAATGAAACTTATACCTTCAAACCTGCAACAGGAACTATCAATTTAAAATGAGTTTGGTAAAAATAATTAACAGCATTTATTATTAAATGTAGGTTAGGCTGTATGTGCATTTTACGAATATTTACCATATGAAAATGAGTTATCAAATCATGATTGATAGATAGACAGACAGATATACACAGACATATGGGTAGATATAGATGCTTTTAAGATATTAAGCAGTAACGCTGACTTGCATTTATTTACCAAACGTGTTATGTCAATGTCAGTCTATTTCATACTTCTCTTTCCTATATATGAATGCCTACACAATATCTATGTCCATTACCCAGTTCACAGGAATTGCATAATTTCAGTGAATTCTAAGATATAATATCTGCTCACCACCTGCTGTGGCCTGCACTGCTCTACTTGCTAAAAATAATGTGGCACCTATCAACCCAGAGAATCGGTCAGTTTCCCCCTCTGTTTGCAGGACTTCTTGGCTGCTAGAGATGAAGCAACATCCTGGAATATCCTACTTTCCAGGACTGGAGACCCACCTACCATTGGCTGTGATGGTGTTGGCAGTGTACATGTGTTAATGTAATTCCTTCTGTGCACATGGTCATCATAAATGCTATAGTTACTTGCAGCTATAATGCATGTGTGCATGTCTGTGAGTAATCATTGCAATACTAGCTGATGTACTTATTTTTTGTCAGTGAACTTGAACTTTCTTGCTAGTCATAAAATGTTTGAAGTGCAGGAAAACTATGAATAACGCTCAACAAAAGAGGAGCTCCGCTTTCAATAGGATAATGTAAGTGTGGGTAGTACCTGTCTACCCAGGGCATGAACCCAAATAGAAGTGAAAACAATATACTAAAAAACGCTCTATCCAAAGACAGAGCCCCCTAGCTGGTAGGTAAGAAATTACAGACAATAATACTTTCTCAAGGTGTCTAAAAGTAGTGTGGTTAGAAAAGGTATAAGTGAGATTCACAGAAATGACTACAATGTACTATACAGACTTTATTAAATGTGTTCTAATGTACAAGGTAACAATGGCTAAATAGCATTGTATAGTGGTAGAAACCTGTATTAAAATAAGTAAGTAGTACACAGGGGCTTAAGAATAAAAGTAGATGGAGACCAGTTTCCTCAGATAATCCTGTAAACAAAGGAGGGGATAAGTATCTCTAAAGCAGTGAACCCTCCTCAATGAAATTAGAGTTCTCACTCACTGATGATAAACCGGTATCTAGAGGTGTTCCAAAAAGGACTCATGAATCTCAGGGCACTACAGTAGTAGGGAATAAAGGGGGATGAGGAGAAATAATAAAAGTAAATAAATAAGTAAAGGTCAGAGAATTGCTCAGTAGCAACCTACTACAATTTATAGCTAAACTAAGCTAAGAGAATCACATTACCTCTAAACTAGAGGACTAAATAGGTGCCATAATTAGAGTGCTCAAAAAGTGTTCAGTGAAAAATAATCAATAAATATGTTTCAGTGCATGGCTGCACCTTCGTTAGGGCAAAAAAACTATACTGGCATAAGAGCTGGTATAAACAGTGATCAAAATGCCTTTGAAGCAAGTCAATAGCCCATCAGCAATGTGTAATGAATTGATTAGAAATGCGCCTCATCTGTGTACACTTATACAGCGAGACCACTCCACTTAGACTCCACAATCAGCCACAGGAACACTCCGAAAGGGTTGGGGATGTGAGCAAAAACAAAAAAAAGAGGAGGCATGGCAACTGCCTAAACTTAAGTACACATTTCCAATTATTATTATTTATATAGCACCAACAAATTCTGCAGTGCTGTAAAATGGGTGGACTAACAAACATGTAATTGTAACAAGACGAGTTAGACGCACAGGAACCTCTGTTCAGAGCCCTGATCAGTGAGCTTACATGCTAGAGGGAGTGGAGTAGAGTGACACAAGGTAAAGGTAGGAGTAGAAAAGTAATTTGGTAAAACAGTATTCACTGAAGACTTAGTGTTTAATGACAGTTTCAGGACAGGAATCAAGGTACAGGTGGGGGGAGCTATTAACTGTTTAATTGGTTTAAAGTGAGTTTTCAATGATTTGTTTGAAGGAGTGGAGGCTGGGTGAATGTCTAACGGAGTGGGGAAGTGAGAACGGTGCAACCCTACAGAAGTCTTGAAGGCGAGCATCAGAGATGGGAGTATGATCAGAGGATAGACATAGGTTTAGACTATTTATAATGGAGAATCCAATGGTATCAAATGTTTGATTGGTTGTGTATAATCAAATATTGAACTGGAAGATATCAGTCAAAAATGTGTAAAAGAGACCAGTCAAACATGAATTTAGCCACTCGCATATATAGTACTCTGTGACTGAATAAGAACTGGGATTGGAATGCTCACTAATTCCAGCCAGCCCAAAAGTCTCTCTAAGCAGGGAGAGGCTGTGTGTGTAAGTCTACATGGATAAGAGCAGAACTGCTCACAGCTATTAGCCAGCCAGTTGCTCACATGTATGGTACTGAGCGGGTGAGGTGGAACTAGGACTGGAATGCTCACTAATCCCAGCTAGCTCGAGAAACTCTTTAAGTAAGATAAGGCTGTGTGTGTAAATATATATAGAGAAGAACAAAGCTGCTTACAGTTAATAACTAGTCAGTTACTCACATATTGTATTTATTTATTATTTATAAAATATTTTACCAGAAAAGATACATTGAGATTTCTCTCGTTTTCATGCATGTATAGTACTGAGTGAGTGAATAAGAATTGGGACTGAAATGCTCACTAATCCCAGCCAGCCCACAAGTCTCTCTAAGTAGGGAGAGGCTGTGTGTATAAGTGTACAAGTATACGAGCAGAACTGCTTACAGCTATTAGCCTCACATATATAGTACTGAGTGAGAGGGAACTGGGACTGGAAAGCTCACTAATCCCAGCCAGCCCAAGAAACTCTCTAAAAAAGATAAGGCTGAGTGTGAATGAATGTATATAAATAAGAGCAGAACTGCTCACAGTTAATAGCTAGCTCGAATTCTGTATCATGGGAAATAACAGCACCCAAAATACAAGATACACCTTAACATACCATACCTTAAGCCTGTAACCCCACAGTGTGAGTTACCTTATTTTCCCATAATGCACATACCTCATGCATACACATGCATTTGCAGAGTAAAACAACACATGCTCTTTATTTATATTAAGAATATCACCTTCTGCAGACTTACTTCTAGAAAGTAACTCTCTGCAAATTGCTGAGTGTTCTGAGAGAACAGTGGAACTCTGGCATAGCAGCCTGCCTGTAGTTTTGTGACAGGAGCATTTCAGAACCTTGGAGAGCTGCCATGCTCGCTCCCGTGCAGAGAGCTGTAACACATTCTGATGGGAAACCAAATCCGACACAGCAGTTGCTGATGATGAATGTGTAAGATAGGGACGCTTTCTCTCGCTCGCCTCACACACTGCCGGTAGGATCAGCAGCTGCATGTGTGCCTTACACTGACAGCAACATTGGCTCTATCCTCCCATTTCTCTGTACTCCCTCACCAGCTCATCAGTGAGGATTCTCACACTTTTTTTGTGAATCCGCTTCCCAACTCATCCTCTTCCTCCAGCCCCCCTCCCCCTTTGCTCTTCCACTCAGGCTCCTTCCCTCCTCCTATTCCACTCTCTTTTCTCCCTGGCTACCAGCATCAGCGGGAGAGTGCAGGTACTGTACCTTGCCTTCTTAGAAAAAAAAAACCCAAAACACTTTATTTTCTATTGGGGCACAGTCAAAAAAAAAAAAGCTAAATAAGGGAAATAAACCAAAAAGATGTACCCTACTGGATCTAGAGAACAATAAAGGTGGGGAGAAGCCTATCATGCCTGTGTTTAAGAGGCTGATACCCATGTGTTCTCTTTTCTCTTTCAGTTTATAGTTTGCTTGCCTTTGGAATAAAACACATTTTCATAATCTATCTGGGAGGAAAAGAAGAGAAGAAAAAAAGACTCCTCTGGGTTTCCGAAACCAAGGAACTGGCTGCCCTAGTAAGTAGAAAAGAGTTTCTATCTTTCTTCTCTGCGATTGTGGGATGCACGGGGCAAAAAAGCTGAAATGTTGGTCCTTATGACTCTGAGCGAACTTGGGCAGAGTTGCTTGGAAATAGCGGTTATTACCAGAGAGAACAGAGCTGAGCCCTGCAGAGCATCCTGTATGTCTCTATATAGCCATGCAAGCTACACTGCCAAATGTTGCTTATGCATATTAAATTTGCTATGCTCTAAGGCTTGTTAAATAGTCTTTTGTGATTTGAGTGACTTCCTTTGCTTATTGGTACTATTAGAATTGCTTATGTTTCCACCATGCAATCATTTGGGCTTAGTGTATTTTACAGGCTGTGCAAGTCATGGAAGTTTATCACTTACATCCTGTATTTTGTGCTAATGCAAGAGAAATATGTTTCATAAGTGGTGCTGAGAACAGAGGCTCAGATGCATCGGATGGTCAGTGCCAGCCTTTCTTGTCAGATGTTACATAGTGTCTTTATATTAAACTTTGGAGCCTTTTCCCTTCTGAGACCAGGATACTGCACGTTCAGCAGCATTTATATATCACTGTAGTGTGTAGCACGTTAAAACAGCAAGCATTTGTATCTGGGGTGTCTCTCTTTTTCAAGCTTTAATAACATAATGCTGATATTAAACATTGGAACGTTTGTCAGGCGTTATTGTATCCAGTGGAGATGTGGCCATATGGTCCCTACACCTGGGGTCCAGCAGGACATAATTGAATATCTAATATAGTACAGTAACTATTGCAGCCTATGTTTTCTAGGTTATCCATGCCTGGTCATTCATTTGCAATGCTTATTATAGTTACCCTGAGAAAAGTAGGCATTTATCTTGTCACTTGTGTAAACAATATGTTTCTTGTGTCACTGTTGTGCCATTCTACTTATCCACACAGAGTAAACACTGTGCATACACACACAGTCATTCATGCTCACATATGTGTAATTCATAATATATATATATATATATATATATATACACATACATACATAAATTACACATATATGAGCATGAATGTGTGTGTGTGTGTGTGTGTGTGCACAGTGTTTACTATGTGTGGATAAGTAGAATATATACATATACACACACACCCAAATTATACATACAGAAAGATTAATTTTGCATATGCAAACCCACACTCATTATATGTGTAATTGTGCAACACATACATTTCCTCTCTTTCACACACACACACACACATTCACACACATTTTGTGTGTGAATAAACAGACATGTATATGTTATAGGTGTTGTTATTAGTATTATTTTTCTTTATTATTATTAAAGATTCACAGTGGAGGTGTTAAAGTTTTATCTCTGCGTTATAGTAGAAAATAATCTGCCTATTGCAATCCAATTAAAACAAATGGAGTGTTACCTTATTCTGAAATTATTTAATCAATTATCTCAAATAAAAGTTACCTTTCTAAAGTTAATAGAACCCATCAAGTTTAATCACACATTCCAGCTTGTAATCTCTAATGGAAACTGAGCCATACACTTAATTAAAGAGCCCATTTTAAGCAAAGAAACAACACGGAAATAACATGCAAGTTTGAGGCTATTTATAGTGCTCCTGCTCTGACTTTGTTAAAAGCATTTTCGTCATGTGAAGTTGTTCAATATTTAAAAATGTAAAATTTAACATAAGAAAAAATGTCTTGTTCAGCTCTTCAACTAGAAATAACCAACTCTGACAGCAATGAGAGTTTTCTGTTCAAGTGCTTTAAAACCCTTCATTAAATTTTTATTTTTATATGTATTTAACTCTAATATCAATGGGCCACATGTGACCAAAGATTGCTAAAGCTAAAATAGAAAAAAAAGACACAGGAGTTGATGAAATCATGGTTTCTCAAATATTTATTAACCTTTTTTCTGCTGGCTATTTCCGTAACATTATTTTTCTTGACACTTTTATTATGAGTTTCACAGACATCTGGACACACTTAACAATACAATGTCAACAATGTGCATTTTCTGTTGCCTATTATTTGTGATTCACTCAAAAAATATTTATAGAAAGCTTAACAAAAAGACGAGAATGTCAACGTAGTGAATGTATATATTCTTATGTTTATTTGAATTACTGTACATTTTATATGAGTAAAATTAGTGTAAATTTACTGTCACATACTGGGGCTATTTGTTCATTTCTGCCTTAGGATTGTGCAAAGATGACCTAGACAATAGTCTCTTGCGGCAAGTTGTTAGGTCTTGGGCCAACATCATTGTGTTCTGACTAGAAAATAATGTTCATTTGGAACACAGTGCCTTTTTAAGAAACATTGTAAAATTACATTTATCTTTTATAATCAAGGGAAGTTGAAACCAGAAAGAATAAAAAAGTTGCTTGTATCAGCAGTTATGTTTTTTATTATGCAATTGTTCTTGTTATTCAGATCAGATAATGGCCCGATGAAATACATAAGCAGTCTTCAGGGAATGAATGATTAATTCCTCTAACGTGTGCTTACTATAGGAGTTCTTACTAATAAGGTATACCTGTATTTGCTTACAGTTGCAGTTGAGGGCAAAGAAAATATGCTGGTCTATCTTTTTATTCTTACCATGCAGAAATCTGCTATAAAAACAACATATGCTGATGAGAAAAGCCTAATAAGGTTTATTATTTTGCCTCATTTGCTGAGAATTTAAACTTTTAATTATTGGATTGAATTAATTGCATGCTTTTAAATCTATCTATCTATTTATCTATCTATCCATCCATCTTGCTAACCGTTAGCCGTTATAATTCTGATTTTATCCTTTTTATTTACACAGGCCTGGAAGCAACTGTTTATTTATTACTTTTGTGGCAAGGTTTTCTATTATGTCATATGTCACGTTTTCTTAATTCCATCACACAACTGGAACCAATTAGCACAGTTCTATGATTAGTTCAGATTTATCTGTTCAAAATCTATACTTGTTCTTGGTATATTAAGTACTTTATTGACACTCAATCTGCATAAATCAAAGTGGAGGGGTAGGCAGATTCTTGAGTTGATGCTTGGAGAGCACTATCATACTCTGATACTTCACTATTCTGAAAATTATAGAGAAATGGCCAGGGGATTTCACTTGTTCGACCCTAATATCCAAGAGCGAATGACTACTATTCATTTTTTTTTGTGTCTATTTTGGTAATTTTGAGATTCCTTTATTTTCATGTTCGATGAACAGATCTATATGTCTAATATGTGTATACATCCCAGACAAGATTCAACAGACTGATTGGTTACGTCAAAACTGAGATATTTTTCTGGTATAATCAAGTTTGATTTTTATTTTAAATGCAAGATTGAAAGTAAATTTAGCAATGGAAAAATATATGACTACTAATTTAATGCATTTTATATACTAAACAGTGAACTAGGGTCAATTGACAACCATTTTTGAAAATATAGATACATTTCCAAGCTAAGTTAGAAATAGCTTCAACTAACACAGATTTTTTGCTGTTTGGTTATAATGGCCTACATTTTGCAAGTCAGTTGTTTCATTGTAACATACTACAAAATGAACAGACTCCTTTGACATTCCTAAAAAAAAGATCTAATCTAATATCTTTATTATAAGCAGGAATTTTCTTGACATTCCATGCATGTTTATTTCTTTATTAGCAGTTATCTTTTTAGATCCTACATACAGTAACATTTTACTGGCCGTATCATTGAATAACGGCTTATTAAAAATAAAATAACGGTGACAGTAATTTTCTGAGGTTCCCAATTTAGATATATGTGTTGGCATAAATATGGACTATTGTAGTAATAGTTTGAAGTGAAAATTGTTGGGCACTGGTTAATTCAGATTCTAACCTGGTAAATAAACCAGTGTTTTAATACAGCAGGACATTGTGTAGATTGCCTACAGAAATCTGTTTTAGATGTTTTTAAAAAAAGTTCTGCCTGTACTTCTTTGCATTTTAAGAATAGTATTCTGGGACGGCCATGGAAACACAAATACATATTTCAAAGCCATTTATTACTGGTAGTTTCTTATTTTATACATGTATTTCCTTTATTTATGTATTGCCCAAACTGTATTTGCATTTATATTCTTATAGTCAAAGTTAAATGATGCAGTTGGCCTTTAGCTGGCACAGTTGGCTAAATTAAAAACAAACATTAAGTAAAACACCGTCATGCTAACATTCTGTATCAGTTTTAACATAAATTTAGGTTTAAAGCATCTGAAATCCCTCCATAAACCTGTACCACATGCCATGTTAAATTCAAGTTAAATTGTTAAAATGGTTTCCTATTAAGATTTCTGCTCCATCCCCTTAGAACTTTGAAAATGGCATTTTAATGTACTTTCTATCCCACAATGTGCAGGTCTCACCATGACCACTGCTCGTCTCCAACTGACATAATCAGTGATGATCATCTCAGCCAATCTAATGCCTCTGGTGGGTTACTGTGCATGCATGACAATTGTGCGCTACACCAGTTAGCAACCTTTCATGTATTAGCTCTATGCATATCTATGGGAATCATTAAGTGATTTCACGCAGAGTTAAATGGACTTAAAGTATCCCTTTAATGGATGTTGTTAAGGTGTACTTGTATTTTTCTGCATTGGGGATTTTTTTATAGAATAGCCTTATATACAGGACTGAACTGGAAATTGGAATACAGGGCAAATGCTGCTAGGCCATGAGATCATGGGCAGAGTTCAAACTGAGACCTGGCAAAGGAAATCAATGCTAACTAGGTGTACAGCATGATGTTGTCTGGTCACACTTCTGTGATAAAGAGGAGAGGTTGAACTAAGCATATGATCTGAACCTCTCCAACACCTAACCCTAAAAACCTAAAACCCCTAACCATAATTCTCCTAACCTTAACCATAGTTTTCTTAAACCTAAACCTGCAACCCTATCCCTATTTTTCCTAACCTTAGGTGTTTTTCTCCTAAGCTCTACCATCAATGCAATAATAATTCTCATAACTAATCCTTATTTTCTAATCCTGAAGCATCTCTAAATGTCCAAGATTATGAATTGTTTTAGTACACCTCCTTGCCTATTCTTTGTTCCAATTTAATAAAATAATTGGAGGACAAACCACACTACTAATTTTATCATTTTATATGATGCTTAAAACTGGACCAAAAGGTTGACATATCCTCAACATACAAATGAACAAAGAAGGATGATCCAGGTAGTTGAAGTAAAGTAACTTACTCTAGCCTGACAAAGACCACATTCGGGATCGTAACACTGATTCTTCAATAATCTGCAAGTAGCTTTACCTCAAGTGCCTGGATCATACTTCTTTGTTAGTTTAATAAAATAGTCTATTAAGGATTTACTATAGGAAACAAAAATAAACAAACAAACATAGAGTTGCATCTTTTAATACGCACAATAAATGCAAATGTTTATCCTAATTCATGCTTTACTATGTATATTAGAGGATTAGCACAGTCAAAAAATGAAGCAGCCATATTAGTTTGTACTAATACTGTCCCGGCTTACCTTAGTTGGGAGTCCGGTAGGCAGAGATTTGTGCTCACCCTTGCAGATAAACACAGCCCATGGCAACCAGATCAGAAGGTAGGAACAGTAACCGTGTACGAGGAAACAGACAAGGGGAAATCTAGAAGAGTAGTCAGACATGGCTCCAAAAGTCAGGGCAGGCAGCTAATAGGCACTAACGAATAATCCAAAGAGAAAGGGTCACAAGCCAAGTCAGTCTTAGGAAACAGGATACAAGAAACAATGAACTGACAATGTTCTCAGGGAGTGGCAGTGTTTTATGCCCAGTGAACTGCCTCAGGTGAACTGCCTCAGGTGAACTTAGATGGACAGGTAGGAGCCACTGGTGATGTCCAGCCCCCTAGTGCTGCAGGCAATGCCAGGAAAACAATGCTAGAAACAAAGTTCAGAAGTGGCTCAGAGGAAGGAACTCAGGCTTAGGATTTATGAAGGCCCCACATTCAAATCCCCTGTTGGGCACTTCTGGGGTGACCACATCTGGATGGCATGGTGAGAACAGTGAATTATAAATATGAGACAC